CCCGAGTGAATTCAGGGCAGAATACGAAATTCATTCAGCGGGGAGATATTCAGGCATTCAGATACACGCCAGGCCACAAACGGTTGGCAGGAGCAATTTCAAATTCAGTCCCCAGAAATTCACAGGGCACATAGTTTATGTTAACAGGAGAAAAACATGGCAAGGAACAGATTTTCAGATAAGATACTCAAAGTGGCAAGGCAATAAAACATAACACAATTGTTTTCTTTAAAAAAAAATGCTTAGTTGTAGCATTCACTGAAATATAATTTTAAGTTTCTAGTGTCCCAATTTACTGCTGCAAAATCGTAGGATGTAATATTTACTTGTAAAAGTAGACTGTGGCCAAATTAAGATTTCCTAACTAATCTAAGAAAACAAAGTTTTAAGACAGTAAATAAAATTAAAGTCCTAATTTTGGGGAGGAAAAAATGATTTGGCATACAAGAATAACACCTCGATATTTTAAATGCCTTCTGAGCTGATCTCCAAATTAATACACATCCCATAATTTCATATCTGTTAAGTGGTTTCCTTAGTGAAAAAAAGTATTAGAGAGAATGCTTTGCTAGAACAAAGATACATCTAATCCTCAATCATACAAAAATAAAAGGCCTAGTCTATCTTTGTGGTAAGATTTCAATTTATCAAAACAAATCAGATTTCTTGAAGTACCATGAAAAATCTGTCACACTATCTTGTAATCATTTCTATGAACCTAAATTAAATCCCCTCCACTATTTCACTGAAATGACAGTTGCCAGCTAGTAGTAAAATCTATTATGTAACTAAGTATATACTGTACTCAGGGAATTTCCTATCCAATGCACAAACAGAAAGAATCCTGTAAGTTAAAATTGAGATGACTTCATCTTAAACAGAACTTTCTCAAATGATCAAACACAAATTAAAGTTTCCTGTTCAACACGGGAAATAAAACTTCCAAAATGTTTTAAAAGAGCTCATACCCCATGTGAACGATGATGTGTAGTGCTGTGGTGAATCCTGTGTTTGCTTTTATAACTACTTCTTCCACTTCTACCAGAGGACTTGCTACTATGGTTCTGATATCTGCTTTCATGGTCCCTATGACGATGTCCAGATTCACACCCTTGACTGTAGTCATTTCTATATTCATCAATGTAGCGTCGACTATAATAGTCTCTCTCATTTATGGATCTGCTTTCCAAATAATGGCTAGAAAAAATTTAAGAAAACAACACTTTTCCAATGCTTTATGCTAATACCAAGTATCTTCCAATTCTCAGTATATCTCTTAAGGTAACTCTTAGATTGTTTTCCCCACCAACCAAAAAAACCCACACAATTTTACAAACATTACAAGCCATCATTGGAAACAGAAAGGAATGGTAATCAACGTTACTTATTTTAAGGGACATTAGTTTTAATTATGAAAATGGATCCGCCCCCCCCCCCTTTTATCGAGACAACGGACAGATAACACTGTAGTGAAAATGTATTTATGTATGTATATGTAATACCCCCCTTACCTATCATATGTTTTAGAGTGATCGTATTTGCAGTGCTTGTTCTCCCGGGCACTGCTATGTGATCTCTTCCTCCTCTTATGACTGCTGCTGCTCCTCCATTTTCCACACTCCCAATCTTTTTCGTCCCAATCAGGACAGTAAGTTCTCTTCGAGTGTCTCATCTACACAAAAGAAAAGTTTTCCCCAGTTTTAAAGGATCCCACGTCAAAACAATGAACAGTTTAATAAAATTCTTCTTTGCAAATTCACTCTAGTTAGAACATTATCAATTTTGGCAAAATCGTATTTTCCTGCCTGCGGAAATTTAATATAGGTTCACATATGAAATTCTCCCCATTTAAACGTGCATCAAAAGCTAGCCTCCAACTCACAAGGAACCACAAATGTTCTCAGCAACAGAACCATCGTTACTGAAAATTTCTGTAAAGGGGGAAAGTCAATCATACTACTAAGGCCTTAAGTCAACGATGGCATCAGAAAGCAAAACAAGGAGTGAGTAACCAAATAATTTAGATGCATATATGCACAACCCAAGGACACGGACAATGGTGTGGAGAGGGGCTGGGGAGAGGGATGTGACGGGGTGGAACGGGTCACTGGGGAGAAAAAGGGACATCTGTAATATTTTAAACAAAAATTAAAAAAAAAAACAAAAAACCCCCCGACACAACACCGTCTTTTGAGTGCCACTCCCCAGCACGTACGACGATGTAACAAAGCCTAGGTCATCCTCAGAACAGTCTTACGCAATCAAGTTAGGAGAGGAGAAAGCCATCTTCCTTTCAGAAATGTTTCGAAGAAAAATCTCCAACAACTTGACTCCTCGTCTCTACACTCAATCAAAACGCTCCAAATGAAGCACAGAAATTCAACACGAGAAATGCCTAATCACACACGCCTTCAAATACTATACTAGATCTCTCTTTTCTCGGGTTCCCCGACGACACTGAGAAGACAGACCCTGGCGATTTCCACACCAGTCCTCTAAGAATCAACTAGACGTTAAATGATATCAAATTATAGCAGGTCAATGCGTTCTTTGTCTCAGTTTGCTACGAACACAGTTCCTCCAGAAACGTAATTTACGCAGAACCCAAGTAAACAACCCCGGCAACAGGCAGCTTCGCCGCCTCCGCCCCGCCGCCATCTTACAGCTCGGCGAGGCGGCCACTGCAGACAAGATGGCGCCAGCGCCCGTCCGGGCTCGGGCTCGGGCTCGCCCCCGCCCCGAGAAAAGCAAGGGTTCGCGCAGCACTCTCCGCTCGCAACACACTGTCACTACCCTCAGTCAGTGGCTGGGGCGTCGAGGTTCAAGCAGAAACTCGCAGCGACAGGCTCGACAGAGCTGGAGTGGGGCGAAGGGAAAAAAGATCCCCGTGCAGGACTGCGGGCAGCGGCCGACAAGCCTGGCTAGGGGGGCATCACCAGGCGCTCCCGAGGCACACAAAAAAGGCCCCGACACCTAGCCCGCTTCCTCCTGCGTCTTACCGTCCTGGCCAGAGTTTTCAAGCCGAAGGCGACAAAGCTTGTACCGCGACAACGGAGAAGACGCAGCTGACAGCGGATAGCTGCGATGGGCTCCGAAAACAAAATGGAGCTGACAGTCCTCTGCGTCAGGACTCTTCTCGAAAACAGTGGTGACGTTGCGACTCCGGGGCGGGGCCTTTGCCCTGGAGGGGGCGGGGCGGCGCGCGGTGGCCGCCGTGTGCGCAGGCGCCGGGCCCCGACGGGCGTTGCTGAAGGTGAGGGCTTGAAGCTGCACACGGCGGCCATGTTGGCCAGGGTCTGGTTCGGGTCCCGGGGAAACGGCGCGGTTACGGGAAGAGTCTCGTCTGTGCTCTTTAAAAATTGTATTTGTGAACGCTGGAAACAAGGAAAAGTACGTTTTTTAGCGTACATTATGTATGGCCTGCGTGTTTGGGAGTATGTTCCCAGTTAATAATTTTAGGTCAATCCCCGCTATCTCAGTGACTATTTGTAAGCAGTGCCTTTACAGAGGCAGAAAGGTTCAGTGCGGTCATTAGGGTGGGCCCTAATCCAGTATGACTGGTGTCTGCCTTTATAAAGAGGTTAGGACACAGGCACAAACGGGAAAGGCCATGTGAAGACAGAAGTTGGTCACGTTCAAGCCGAGAGGCTTGGAGTAAACAACCCTACCCACACCTCCATCTCCCAATTTCTGCCAGTCTGGACCCAGGGTTGGCCAACTTTTTCTTAAAGGGCCATATAAGTCTCAGGTTTATAGGCCATTTGGTCTCTGTCACTACCAGTCAATAGTGCTGTTGAAGCACAAGCCAGCCAGACTCAATACTAAAGGAATGGGACTGACTTCCAAGAAGACGTTATTTACAAAATCAGGTGGCCAACTATGTTTTGCCAACCTCTTATTTAGATGGGGAACCATATTCTTGTCCTTTTAAAGAGAATTTTGGATGATTAACGTTATCGTCTTCTTCATAGTTCATTAACACATGGAGCAGAACATCAGTCACCCAAATGCTAACATGATGGGTGTGAACCAGTCAACTCAGGGTGAGTGGGCAGAAATCAATGTGCTGCATCTTGTCCTCAAGGTGGGCAGCCAGTATCCCTCCCTATCTGAAATCCTTATGGCTATGACTGAGCTGACTTTATCAGATTGAGGTCTAAGAACCAAAAAGTGACTCTACTGGCGCTACTTTAAAAAATGGCAGAGTTTAGAATAAAAATTGATGGGATGCCAGTCAGTGCTAAAAAATCCTGACAATCAGTAAAAGACTCTTAAAAGTGATGACAAAAAATTCAGTGACATGTTTGGAGAAGAATATCAGGTATAACAAGTGGCAAAACAAACTCTGGCCAAAAAGGGCCTTTAATACTAATTCTAGAAACCTAAATGATTAAAAGGCTGAAGCAAAATGCAAGAACATTAGTATAATTGGCACCTCAGTTTAGTGGAAGGCATAGATGGTAACGACAGGACTGCTACAAGCTAACTCCCAAACTGTAGTTAAGAACAAACCAAAACATTTAAATCAGCTATCTGCAAAAATGTTTGGTTTTAGGAACACCCAACATCTAATCAAGGTGATCTAAGCAGTAAGTGGAACATGGTTCTTGACAAAATCAATGGTAAGAGTCTGATAAATGGCCTGATTAGGTTAAGAGCCCTCTGGTGGAGACAAATATATTAGGAGAGCAGCTTCCATTACTTAATACAGAATACTTACTATATGCCAGAAGCTTTATACACATTATTTCTTTTAATCCTCACAACAGTCTGAGGGAATATTATTTATGAATGAGGAAACTAAAGCTTGGAGATGTTAATTTGCCTAAAGTTAGTAGGAGACAGAGCTGTGATTCAAACACAGACCGAGCTCTACAAGTGGTGTTCTTAACCAACTAATTACTTTTTTCAAATGGATCATCTGTAGAACTTTATCTTGTAATATTTTAAAAGATATGCTTTAATGTTCCACGGGCAAATCAGTTGGGAAATTCTGAGTGTTTACTGGACTCTAGGATATCTCTGAGCCTTTATTATAAATCTAAAGACCAAAGAAAATAGCAAATACATTGGCTAGCCTCTATACCATCTCTTTATCTTGCCCTTCCTCTCTCTAGCTGCACAAAGTGAACAACTATGGAAAATAATACTTCCATGATGTGGTCTAGATATAGTAGGAGTTTATAATTAGGGTGCTCAAAAATGACTGATATGAGGCTCAGCATTTAAAAATGAATGTTTCTATGTAACAAAAATTAAACATGTTTAGAAAATTAAACACATTGGATAATAGTTATAGAAAAGAATATGCTCAAGAATGGGAGTAAAAGCTATTTGGTTCCCTTTGGTACCACTAACTCAGGAGATCTTAGTTGTAAACAAGCAGGATGATGCAATCTCTGACATAATTAAAACTGGATAAACAACAATAGGTGTGTTCCTCAAATACTGTGCCAAGTATTTGTCCATGTCCATTATAGCTATTGAGCAAATGGGTTGGCATGAATAGTTATATCCTTAATGTGTACATCATTAAGAGGTCGGTATGTCTTCTCATTTACTGGTAACTTCTCCAATTCATCTAGAGTCTCCAGACCATCTATTACCCTGTAAGAGAAACAATATAATGAATGAACATTTTCTCAGATTGAAACACAATATCCAAATACACATAGCAATTATAATATCTTTAAGAGAAAAGGACCATGACTCATAGTTCTCTGAATTCCCTAGTTGAGTGTACAATAAAATATTGATTTGACTTTCTAACATAGATATGGGCCAAAATTCAGAAACAAAAATGCATTCTTATGCCTTTAGACAGTAATAACAATGGGTAGGAATATTCCCACCAAAGTATCTAAGCATTGTATTCTGCCCCATTTATACAGCATAGCTACAATGGGGCCAATATAATTAGTCAGAAGATTTCTTTGCTATAGGAAATATCCAGAGAAAGTATGTAAGGATGACACTATTATAAATACTGCCCTACTCTGAAGATCCATAAGTGAGTGGCCACTTTGCACTTGATTGTTTTTGTCCAGAAGCAAAAATTAAAAACACCATATTTAAACAAAGAGCAATAATAATAAAAATAGGAAAATAGAAGCCCTGGCCAGTGTGACTCAGTTGGTTGAAGTGTCGTCACATACACCAAAAGGTCGCAGGTTCGATTCCCAGTCAGGGCACATACCCAGGTTGAGGGTTAGATCCCTGGTCAGGGTGCATACAGGAGGCAACCGATCAATGTTTCTCTCTCACATCAATGTTTCTCTCTTTCTCCCTCTTCCTCCTCTCTCTCAAATCAGTAAAAACATTTGAAAAATAGGAAATGAAAAGATGAACAGTTAAGCCCACTTGCAGCAAGCTTACTTCATGTTTCCATTAAGAAAAAGAAATATTGAGAGCTATCCTTCAAATATGTTTTGAAGTTAGTTTAAAACATTTGCTAAGAAAAGGCAGCTTTTTAGATTATACCTCTTAGTACAACTCAAATTAATTCTCAAAATATATGTATAGAATGTATTTACATTTAATTTTGCAATTTCACTAAAATAGTACTGTAACCAAACCTTTTGATTTTACTCCCAAATGTATGACAATTAAGGTCTTTAAATTGTAAATTTTAAAGGTTTTCCCACTTCTGGGTCAGTAAGATAAATAGAGGATATAGAAAACAGAGCTCAGGCACAAAAAGCAAGCAAACTGTGCTAAGTCAGTCCAGTCAAGTATCTGGGACATAGCCCCTTTGAGAACGAGTGGAAAGCTATATACCATCTTCCCAGAAAAATGTGTGTGCATATACCTGAAACACACAATTTCAAAAAGTTAATGGACTTAAAGGTTAAAGGATAAGAATCTTTGTTCTAGCCCAGCCGGCGTGGCTAAGTGGTTGAGCATCAACCTATGATCCAGGAGATCTAGGTTCAATTCCCCGTCAGGGCACATGCCTGGGTTGCAGGCTTGATACCCAGAGGGGGGCGTGCAGGAGGCAGCTGATCAATGACTGACTCATCATTGATGTTTCTATCTCTCTCTTTCCCTGTTCCTTCCTCTCTCTGAAATCAATAAAATAAATTTAAAAATCTTTGTTCTAAATTTTACAGTTTTGTCACAAATCCAGTAAGATCTTGGTAATTACCCATCAATAATTATTAACGGTGGGTTAAGGGAGAAAGTAAAAGGAGGGGAACCTAGATTACCTACATACACACAAAGAATACTAGAGACTGTAATACTTCATTAATTATTAATAATCTAAATTAGACATGTATATGGAATGAAAAAGAAAGTTGTAGAGTCTTCTATTTTTAATTAGCCTAACTTGGCACTCAAATTATCAAATAAAACAAACTCTAGAACTGTGCCTTAGTTTATTGAGCAAAGTAAATACTTGCAGACAGACAAACTGACTTCCTATTGATTTACAAAAGCAGTCCCCAGGAATACTGTTTATAATGGATATTCTGGCAGAGACTACTAAACACCTCCCTAGCATCCAGTTTCCCCTTCTCCTTACTCACAGAAACCTCATTTCATTGAGAATAGTAATGCGTCTGGCTAAAAAACATTTCCTATCCTCCCTTGTAGGTAAGGGATAGCTACATTGCAAAGTTCTGGATCTTCTAGAAAAACTCTTCTAAAAAGGGGTAGACTTAGCTAGGCAGACCTTTTGCCCTTTCTTCTCTGTTCTGCCTGGAACACAGATGTTCTGGAACTGTGTTGCCCATACTATGACCACGTGGTGAGCTTAAGGATGGAAGCTAAAGATGGTTGAAGCTAAAGACAGAGGCACCTAGATCATTGGTGACATGATGGAACCACCATCCTAGTCCATCTTGTTTAAGCGACTATTTTTCAGATCTGCTGCAAAATGCTATTCTCAATGAAAACAGACACATTACTATTAATCTGCACAATGAATCAGGAAAAAAGTATTAGCTTCTCTTTTATAAAATCAGGAAACTGAGGCTCAGAGAAGTTATAACTTCCCAAGGTCACCAGACTGGTAAATAGTAGACTTAAATTCCAGGTATGTTTAGCTCTCATACTGCATTTTCTTTTTTCCTTTTTTAAAATATATCTTTATTGACTTCAGCGAGAGGAAAGGAGGAGGAGAGATAGAGAGAAACATCAACGATGAGAGAGTCATTGATCGGCTGCCTAGCCCGCAACCCGGGCATGTGCCCTGACTGGGAATCGAACCCCGATCGCCTGGATCCTAGGTTGATGCTCAACTGCTGAGCCACGCCCGGCCGGGCTCATACTGCATTTTCAATATTAGTTATGCTACTATCACAGCCACTTATATACATCCCTTTCAATGAAATTCCAAAGAAGAAAACCATAACCAGGAGACTCACTTTCCAAATACTGTGTACTTCATGTCCAAATGTGGCTGCTTGCCATAGGTGATGAAAAACTGTGATCCATTGGTGTTTGGGCCATTATTAGCCATAGATACAACACCTCTAACATTGTGCTGAAAAAAAACAGACCAAAGTATTAATTTATCTGTGTTTTTAAATAAATATTCCAAATACAGGACTAAAACAAGACATGCACTCTTTAACCTCCCAATATTTAAGGAACCAAGAAAACATTAAATGATTAACAGCTTCTACTTGGGCAAACACAAATGTACAGTTGCTGTATTATCTGTATCTCTGAAAACATACATGTAAGTTGTTTATATATCAAATCATATCCTCCAATTTCATTTTCACTTTGGAGATGTACAGCTACAAACACTTTAAGCAATGCCAATGTATAACAGAAAGAATCCTTACATTTATATTAAGGAACAGTGTGCTGGTATGAAATGATCAGGCAGACAATAAAACCAAAATCCCCATAATCTCTTCACACATACACTGGACTCTGGCTAGTTTCTTTATCTGTAAAAGAAGGGAGTTTGGACTAGTTCTGGGGTTTATTCATAATTCAAATGCTGCCCAGCCAGGCATGGCTCAGTGCCTGAGCATCAGCCTAGGATGCAGAAGATAGCAGTTCAATTCCCAGTCAGGGCACATGCCTGGGCTGCAGGCTCGATACCCAGTTGGGGGCGGGCAGGAGGCAGCCAATCAAGGACTCTCTCATCATTGATGTTTCTATCTCTCTCTCCCCGTCTCCCTTCCTCTCTCTGAAATCAATAAAGATATATTTAAAAATAATAATAATAATTCAAATGCTCACAAAGGTCAGTAGATAATAAACTGATGAGTGGGCAGAACGTAAACTTTAGGGAATGGTGGAGTCTAGCTAAAGGAATAGTGTATCTCTTGCCTAATGGCATTAAACATTTTTTTAACCAACTGCCATAGAGAATGCATCTATGAGTCTTCTACCCATTGGCAGTCAGTTCATAACCTGAAGACTAGATGATCTAAGGAAGGTCTCTTCTAGCTCTAATATTCGTGATACTGTTTGTTATACAAGGGACTGTGTACAGGAATTAAAAGAACTTTACAGATAAAATTGAAGACGTGACAGCTCATGTTATAGGGAGGTGCCTGAGTATGAAATACACTATAAATAACTCTAATGATTAGTCTATATTTAGTTATTCACCAGGGGACACTAATGAGACAAGCAATAGAGATACATATTCCCCAATTAATTTCATTTTCACTTTGGAGAAGTACAGACACAGTTTTAGCAATACAGTACCAATGTATAATAGATGTAGCTACATCAGGATATTAATGATTTATTGTCTTCCTAAAAGGTGACTACCAATCAAATGTAATATTTAAATGTATCTATATTTTATTGATTTCAGAGGAAGGGAGGGGGAGAGAGAGAGAGAGAAACATCAATGATGAGACTCATTGAATGGCTGCCTCCTGCATGTTATCTGCTGGGGACTGGGTCCACAACCTGGGCATGTGCCCTGACTGGGAATCAAACTGAAATCTCCTGGATCATAGGTCAATGCTCAACCACTGAACCACACCAGCTGGACTCAAATGTAGTCTTTAATACATACACGAGAATATATGTACCATTTATAACTTAATAAAATACATACCCATTAACCCATTTCTAAGCTTTAGGAATTTAAAATTTATCAAACTTGCATGTGTATGTGCTCCTCTCATGGATTACCTTAGCCTTCTTCTTATCAAAGAAGTAACCACTATTCTAATATCTTTATACATGCCTATACAATATACAGTTGATTCTTGAATGGGTCTTGAACACAGGTTTGAATTGTGTGGGTCCACTTATACACATTTTTTTAAAATCTGTGGTTGGGAGTCCACAGATTTGGAGAGAATTCTATGCACTGATCTACACATAAAGTCTCCTATTTTATGTAGGGGACTTCAGCATCCTTGGATTTCAGTATCCACGGTGGTGGTGGGGGTGTCCTAAAACCAATCCCCCATGGATACTGAGGAATAAAAGTTATACATGGATAACTTTTGGGGGTCAAAAGCTATACATGGATTTTCAACTATACAAGGAGGGTAAGTCCCCCTAACCCCCACACTGTTCAAGGGTCAACTGTATTGTTTCCTTTTCCTTGTTTCTGAGCTCTATAAAATAGTATCATACTATTTGTAGTCTTCCAGGCATGCTCTCTACACTTATGTTTCTATGATTCCTACATGTATATGAAGCTGTAGTTCTTTTTTACTGCTGTATATTTCACTCCTGAATATACTACAATATATCCATCCTATGATCAATAGACATTTGAGTTGTTTTTAGCTCTCTGCTATTAAAATAATTCTCTAGGAACACTCTTTTATGTGTCTCCTGATGCACATATGTGCATTTTCTAGGGTAAACACTTGGGAATGGAATTGCTGGGTCAGAGTATGTGAATATTCAATACACACCCTCAACTTTGATGTATAAGATAGTGATTCTTAACTCTGGCTGTTGAAGGAATCACCAGGGAACCTTAAAATATAATCAAGGCCCTAATCAGTTCTACTGATTATTTTTCTCTATATTTGGGGATGGGGGGATGAGAGGAGGTAAGACCCTAATTTTTTATATTTTTAAAACTTCCTTTGGTGAGTCTGTAACAGCCAAGGTTGAAAAACACTGGTATAGGATTACAGATTAGTGTTATGAAAGCTGTCATTAATTAATGTCTAAAAGGTTGTTTTGTTTCTAATTCAAGAAAAGGATGACTTTTAAATAATTTAGCATTTCCCAACCTCAACTCCTATAACAAAAATAGTATTTCTTTATGATAGAAAAGCAAAAAGATAAAGTAAATTACCCCTAGTCTGTCCATCCAGAGATAAACACTGCAATGAATTTTTTTCTTCCAGAAAATTTCCAGGGTATATTTTATTGATTTTAGAGAGAGAGGGAGAAAAGGAGAGAAACACTGATCGGCTGCCTCCTGCACGCCCCCTACTGGGTGGGGATCAAGCCCACAACCCGCACATATGCCCTGACCAGGAATCAAACTGGCAACCTTTTGGTGCACGGATGATGCCCAACCAACTGAGCCACACCAGCCAGGGCCAGGGCATATATATTTTTTTTTCAAGGAGAAATTAGAATTTTATTTTTTCAGGGCATATTTTAATGTAACTGAAATATAATATAATAAATTACATATTCTGATTGTGGGGAATTTGTCTCTTTTTTTCTAATTATAAAATTATCATGCTATGCAGATACAAAGTTTAAAAGACCATAAAATAAACTGTTAATTGTTGTCCTCTCTGGGAAGTAGAACTGATTTTTTTTTAATAGGCATGTATTGCTTTTTTAATTTTAGAAAACAAAACAAGAAAATTGTTTAGAAAGTTTTAGAAAAAATATGATAAAGAAAATAAAAATCCCTAATTTTAACATGCTAAAGATATATTTATATGCACTTCTCTTTCACCTCACTGAGATCTACTACAGGCATTAAGTAACGTTAATGCATGAATATTTAAACATCTAACAGATGATGATAAAAGTTGGTGATTGATAATGGCAATATTGCAACCAGGAGGTCTGCTAGTCTTTCCTTTTCACTCTCAAACAAGGCTAATGGTTTGCGTCATTCAACATGAATTTTATAGTGAGACATTAAGCCCCTTTGGTATATTACTGATAGGCTGGACCCAAAGGTGAGCTCACTTAGTATCAAGATCCATGTGATAGTGAGATTCCAGTATATATTTTAGGCTAGAACTGCCATGTATATTTTCTCCCTGATATCATTTATCAATTGTGCAGAAACTACAAAAAAGTACATATATATGTTTACTAATGATGTTAACTTGTGTTACTACAACATATGTATCAAAGTTTCCAAGTGTACACATGGCATGAGAAAATAATTTTGAAGCACTGGGGACATACCTTAAGATATTCACTGTATTCATCCTCAAATTTCTTGCCCCAGATACTGTTACCTCCTCTTCCAGTACCTATATTACAAGACAAATACAAAAAGTATCTAATTAGAGAAAGGGTTTATTTTCTTAAACTTAAAGGCTAGTTTAAAGTATAACTTTTTAAGTACAAATAAAATTTGATATGTCCCTTTTTTTTTTAAGCTGATATCTTTTATTGGTGAGAAGAAATGTTTTTATTTTTTATTATTATTATTTTTTAAAATTTATTTTTATTGTTGAAAGTATTACAGATGTTCTCTTTTTTCCCCAATGACCCCTTCCAACCATCACCCACCCCTTGCCCTAGGCCTTCACCACACTATTGTCTATGATATGTCCTTTCTTACTTCCCCAAAATTTCACTTTATAAACCAGAAAAATAAAATATCTCTACAAAAAAACAAAAACGCTCAATACTATTCATACTTTAGAGCTAGGTACTAGTAGCTTCAGCTTAAAAATTGCTTGCTGCCCTGGCCAGTGTGGCCCAGTGGTTAGTGTCAGCCAGCAAACTGAAGGGTTGTGGGTTCAATTCCCGGTCAAGGCCATGTACAATCCCTAGCCCTGGTCTGGGCACCCGTGGGAGGCAACCAATCCATGTGTCTAATAAAAAAATAAAAATAACTCGCTGTTGCAAGGTAGCCCAATTATAAAAACTCTGCATGCTTTTATTTTTCTATTGTTTGTCTACCCCCACTTCTTCACACTATATACCCAATTCTCTAGATATTAATGGAATAACTTACCTGTGGGGTCTCCTGTTTGAACCATGAAACCTTTGATATTTCTATGAAATATACAGCCATTGTAGTAATTACTGGCACAGAGAGCCAAGAAATTCTGAAGAGAGTAAAAGTAATGATTAAGAAATCATGTAGCAGAAACACATTTAAGATAAAGAACTAATTGTACTTACTGAAAACACTGTAACAACCTATTTAAATGCCTATGTCTTTTAGGCATTACTTTGGATGATGTCGCTTCCCTACCTAAAGCACTTTAATGACTTCCTTCAGTTTTTGGACTAAAATACAAACTCCTAAGCAGAGCCTAATATGCCCTGCATGACCTGGCCTACCTCTACATCTCATCATAATGACCCCTTCCTGTTATTTACTATGTTTACCCCATTAGCCTTCTGAAAATTCACCCCAAAGAGGCAGGCTCCCCCCCCCCCTTGAGGACTTCATACCTGCTATCTTTCTATCTGGAATGTTCTTTTTATATATCTTCCTTTTTTTTTTTTTTTAATATATCTTTATTGATTTCAGAGGGAGAGGGAGGGAGAGGGAGAGAGAGAGGGCAACATTAGTGATGAGAGTCATTGATCGGCTGCCTCCTTCACACCCTACACTGGGGATCGAGCCTGCAACTCAGGCATGTGCCCTGACCAGGAATTGAACAGCGATCTCCTGGATGACAGGTTGATGCTCAACCACTGAGCCATGCCCGGTCAGGCTCTTTTTATATATCTTTTCATGGAGATGCCTTCATTACTTTTCACACTCAGTTTTAAGTATCACTTTCTTGACTAGGCCCACCCTCACCTTCTTTTAAATAATTCCTTCCCCATTATTCTCTGTCTCAACATTTTATATCTTTCAAGGCATTATCACTCTCTAGAAATACTTTTTTTCTAGAATAAATTCCCCCCCCCACCCCCGCCTATATTCCTACCTAGAATATTGGCTCCATGAGGGCAAGGAATGTGTCCTGTTCATCACTGTATTTGCAGATACTGTCAAGATAGCCTTTTATAGATAACTGTTGAATGAATAAATTATGTATAGCTGACTCTTCTTCCTTCTGTCCTTGTCATTTAAACAAGTGAAATAATGTAAGGAACAGTTTTCTTATCTGATATCTCATGATTACTTATGTTTCCTAAGGAAAATGAGCCAAAAGGAAAAGATACCAGCCACTCTACCTACCCTTCGATATCAAGAAAGGTTAAGTGGAAATCAGGCCAGAAATGATGGTGGCTGGTTTTTCCCGACAATGGTTTTATACGAAAGTGGTTTGGTTTTTTATGTTGTTGACTTTTTAGATCAGTCAATTTCAAAATGATTATCCTGTTGCATTAACTCATTTTTTATTTGTACATAATGGTACTCACTTCACATGTTTTGGGTGTCCTCTCACAGAAGATTTCTATTTTAATATCACCTACATCCGTATGCAGTGTCACCGACTAAAAAGGAGAGAGAATGTGAGAACAAATGAGATTTCTTCAGGTGACTATATGCACTGTATGATTTCCCTAAGTAGATATTAAAGATGGTATCTAAATAGCATAGAAGTACTGTTTCAGAGATGACCTGTCCATATAGCAGCTCTGAGAGATAGTTGTATTCCTTCAAATTTTACTTCAGCAGTAGGAAAAGCCTCCAGGAGATTATAAATATAAAGGTTAGGGTAAAATAGTATCTATGCTAAAAATTGGGGAGCAAATACTGTGCTGGAAATAATTATTTTAAGCTTGAATTTTTCATCAATAAAAATAAAAACAATTGTAATATTAGAATTACTGATTTAAATGGCATTCACTATCATTACTATTTATTGAAAAATAATAAGAGAATGACTTTCAAAATATAGTTTCTACCATTTCCCTTATGTAATTTAATGGTAAGGGGCCAGGTTAAAAAAATTCCTGCCCGGCCAGGAGATCACAGTTCAATTCCTCGTCAGGGCACATGCCCAGGTTGCAGGCTCGTTCCCCTCCAGGTCCCCAGTCAAGGGCGTGCAGGAGGCAGCTGATCAATGACGACTCTCTCATCTCTCTCTCCCCCTCTCCCTTCCTCTCTCTGAAATCAATAAAGATATATTTAAAACAAAACAAAAAAACAATTCCTTTCTCGACTACAGACAGGACATAAAAAGCATCAGTGTTTCTAGATTCTAAATGTGCAGAGGTAACCATAGTACTTTTTCCCCCCTAGTATTCTTTATTTCTGCTTTTTGTTTGTTTTGGTAGCTTGAATACTCCTTTTGAATACATCTCATTCCAGAAAGAATGAAAATTATTATTCTGGAGCTTCCTTTTTCATTTCTTATTACAATAGTATCTAGCAGTCAGAGTATGGCCAGGTTGAAGATAGAAAGCAGGGGGTGTGTGTGAGTTGGGGGAGGAGGACATGGGGCATTATTCTTATTGCTGTTCTTCTACTTCAAGCTCTAGTTGCCTACCTTAGATACAGAGCAAAAAGTTCCAATTAAAATTATAACACCAGGGCTATACCCTTCTGCTCCTCCTACTCCCTCTTTTCATTTCTACCTTGTAATCAATTTTTTTCTATAAAAGGCAAATTCTGTGTGTTTTAAGTGAAAACATACATAACTTAAAAGTAATTTTGCTTATTTCTGGTTTTGCTTAGAATCATTTTTCACTGTAGACTTCTACAGTTTATCATTTCCCTGTCTTGCCATTGATATTTCCACGCAGTTTTATTTCCCTTGACTGAATTTCTAAAAATTACTTCTAATGAAAGGCACTCATAAGAATTCTATAAAACTTACCATTTTCCTTCTTGATGGTTACTGTTATTTCTCACAGTCTTATTGAAAGAAGTCCGAGAATGAATCTCCATTCCCAAAAGGAAAAAAATAAGTTCGTTTTTCTCTCTTACTTCACACATGCTTATGTTTACTGAATATTTAAAAGAAAAAGTCTCGAAGA